TTTTTTTTTTCTCCTTCTCTCTTTATGTGAATTAGGGAACGAAGTTGGAGTTTGTGAGGGCTTGGAAGTGCCAGACGTTTAAAAGTACTGGTCTTGTTAAGGACTTCAGTGAAATGGAAACAACTTGGAAGCATTTGAACTTTGTTGCTAAGCGGCCTGAACGCGCTGAACTCATTAAACAAGGTTTTGCTTGCTATAAAGAAGTAATTTTGTTTGCTGAAATGTATTTGGAGGATGGCTACGGTTACGTGCTTACTACTCTGTCACGCGTGCTTCCTCAAGCTAAGCGTAATGCTCTCTATCTTTTACCTGCTGTATATAATAATTGCTTTTCCCATATCTTTTTTTAATGCATGCAACGCAATCATCATCCACATTGAGAAGTCCAAAACCAGCGTGTATAAAATTTTTTCCTAACGTGTCATCATCACATATAGTTATTGCAGTTATAGATTTGAGTTTTATTCATTTGAGTTATTGTAAGATTGCCATAAATACTTTGATTTTATTTGTTTGATGCAGAAATTGGATGTGTCTATTGCCCTGCAAGCATTGTGCATCCACGTTTCGATTGTTTTAATTAGAAATTTAGAGTTGATTCGTCCAAGGTGAGTGATAGACTATTCTGTATTTATTAAGGTGAAAGTTTTGCTGTACCCTGCACATTTAATTTTATGTTATAAGTTGTCGACCGAGCTGTCGTAGTCAAGTGATGCTTTATTTCGAATTGGTAACATTTTGTTTATGCGGTGGTGGGCAGGCTTGCTGCAGCGATTGGGCCGCGCTGCTGGAAGGAGACGGGGCCGCGAGCATGGGTCAGAGCTGGAGAATCACGCGGGCCGGAGATGGGTTGGGCGTGGGCTGCAAAAGGGTTGCGGAATTTAGGCCTCACGCAACTGGGCTCCCTCGCTGGGTGCAGACGCGGAAAAAGGCCGGCGACCTGGGCTGCCTTGCGTGCTGAAAATGCCCGCGACCTGGGCGCTGAACAGGGGCTGGGACGAATTTGATTGATGCACGATTTTTACAGTGCTGATGAATTTTTTTTACAGTGCTGATGAATTTTTTTTACAGTGCTGATGAATTGTTTTCAATTTTTATTGTTTTTATGTTTCTTGTTTTGTAATATATGATTCTGTATGTGAAATATGGTATCAGCAGAAAAATTATTATATAAAGTTGAATTAACATTCTATTCAGTATATATCAAGTTGAAATATGCAATGTTTAAATTCTGAAAACCCAAAATCAATTATGCCGTAGCTGATGACAATTCGATTTTGTTGAGTATATATGTTATGGGATTCTAATATCATTTGAGTTTCATTTATTGTTTAATTATAAGGTGCATTGCATGTGTACTTTGGCCCTTTCCCAAACCATACACAAGGCCCAATTATTGATAAGGTTAGGATAAATGTAACCACACAAAGGAGGTCCCAAACTCAATGTTTTAATGCGCTCAAACATGCGAGGGGAAAAAAATCCCTTGCTATTGATAGAAGATATCTTTTAGAATAATGTTACTTGTATCTCTTGGTGTACCATTTGGTTTACATCTAAACATGTACTTATTTACCTTTAATGATTTACTAGTACAACGCCCGTGTATTACCCGGGTGCTTGTTAATCTTTTTCTTAAAATCTAAAATTAATGAAAAAAAAAAGTAGTTGAAAGTTTAAATACCTTTTATAAAAATATATATATTATTATATGATTAGTATGACACTTTTTATTTGTGCAGCTTACTTATGTTATAGTATAATATTTTTTTTTAACTTACAACATATAACTACATTAAACATAAATATATCACTTGAGAAATAATTTTATTTTTCTAATGAATTTTAATAAATATTATTATTTTTTATTTTTATAAAAATAAATATAATTTATTTATTTCATATATACAATATGGATGTCAAATCGAAGATCATTAAAAGATGATTAATTTGATATATTTTATATGTAAAACCGATAAGAAATATAAAAGTTATCAATTTTAAAATACATTTACAATTCAATAGTTAACTAAAGGAAATAAATCAAAAGTCAGGGATATAATAGTCACTTAGTGCCTCACTATGTAAAATTACAAAAAATTAAAGGGTTATATTAGTACAAGTGATATTAAAATACCTAAGTTAGCTAAATAATATTTATTGAATGACCGAACCTAGATTATTAATTATTAATATATCAATATCATTTGTCTAAACCTAATTACGAAGCATGATTTTTCGCCAAGTAGGATTCCGAAGCACCAGAAGCAACCACGTAGGCTCAGCGCATTCGGTAATTATATAGGGGAGATAAGAAAAAGTAATTGAAAATTTAAATACATTTTTATAAAAATATATATATTATTATATATTTAGTATGACATTTTTTATTTGTGCGACTTACTTGTGTTATATTATAATAACTTTTTTAACTTATATATTTACATTAAGCATAAATATATCAAATAATTTTAATTTTTTATGAATTTTAATAAATATTTTTATTTTTATTATTATAAAGATAAATATAATTTATTTATTTCATGTTAATAGGGGTGAGCATGGTGCGGTTCGGTGCAAAACCGCACCGAACCGCAAAAAATCGAAAACCGAATTTTTTCATTTACCCAAACCGAACTGCACCGAAACATGTAGAAAAACCGAACCGAAACCGCACCGAACTTTTCGGTTCGGTGCGGTTCGGTTTCAGTTAACCGCAGATTTTTTAAAAAAAAAAACAAAAAAAAACCCAAAATAAAATGAAGCTACATCATCATCATCTAATGTGCAACATACCAAACCAAAAGCCCAAAATTTGAAAGAAAAAAAAAAAAATAAGGCAAGAAATTAGATTTAATGTAATGTTATTAATTTTTAATTGTTATTGTTATTATTTAT